AAACATTGAAATTAGTGCCCCCAAAACACCTGTCACCTATAATCAAGGATTGACTAAAGTGCTTGCAAGGATTAAAGTAACATCTATTGCTGACTAATAAGCTTCCCTATCCTGCAGTAGTGATTACATAAGAATTGTATATTGAAATTATATAGACAAAAAGCAAATTCATATTCTGTTCCAAAGTGGAAGATTAGACTGGAAGCCAAAATAAAGACATTAAGATCATATGCAAGTAATGTACAGAACATGAAAGAGCAAAAACTGAGGAATATAAAAATCAAGATAAGCCTAATAAAAATATATTGGCACCAGAAAAATTGAAGAAGCTTTGGAAATCTGTAAATTGACCAGAATCATTTGGCTAGTGAGATAGGCAGTGTCTTAATTGATAAATAAACAGATAAAATCATAAAGCAACAAATAGCAGAGAAATTTGAATGCTATGAGGCACGAATCATCCAATTTAAGCAAAATCAACTACTTCAATGAAACCAGACGTAATTCTACCAAATTATAAGTGGCAATAAAAATTATGAAAATAGAAAACCAAATAAAGGAAACAATCCAGTCCTGGAAAGGTTTATGGGAAATTTTAAAAGGCTATAATAAAACGTAGGATGAATAAAAGAATTTGAAGATGGATTTAGTAAAAAGTCAAATGGAAAAACTAATAATAACAGCAGGAATGGTTAAAAATTGAGTGAAAAAGAATAAAAATTGGACATCTGGAAATGATCGGTTGCATGGCTTTTGGCTCAAATATCTGACTAGCTTGAGTCCAATTATAGTTAAAACAACTTAATTAAATATTGCATAAAGGAGATACCAGCGACTGGTTAATAACTCAATTCAAAAAGATCTAGCAAAACAGACAACACCAGGAAATTATAGGCCGATAACATTCTTGCCTACAATGTTTAAATTACTCACAGGCATAATAGCAGACAACATCCAAGATTATTTAGAAGAAAATGTCCTTCCAGTAGAACAGAAAGAAAACAAAAGGGAAAAATGGGGAAAAAACACAATTTACATATGGTCGGGATTGATTATAAAAGGTATTTGATTTATTTCCACATAGTTGGATCATCAAATGTTAGGAAATCACTTTTGTCAATAAAAACATTAGAGTGTTTATAGAAAAAAAAACAAGCAATGGAAGATAGAATTAATGATGGAACTGAAAAATATGGGCTTGTCAACATTAGATGCATCTTCTAGGGCAGGGTTTTCAACCAGTGGTATGGGTACCACCTGTGGTACATTGGCACCTGGCAGGTGGTACGCGACCATCCTAGAAAAGTGGTAGCGGGGGAGGGGAATGAGCTGAACCGGTGGCAGCACCGCACAAGCCTGAGCGAGAGACGGCTGGAGCTGCAGGGCTGTCAGGGCTCAGCGGAAGCGCCAGGATCAGTGCTTCTTCGGGACTGTCAGGGCTCAGCGGAAGCACCAGGATCAGTGCCGCTTTCCAGCTGATCGGCGCTTCTTCGGGACTGTCAGGGCTCAGGGGAAGCGCTAGGATCAGTGCGAGGCTCCAGCTGCAGCTCGGCGCTGATCCTGGCGCTTCTGCTGAGCCCAGAAGAAGCGCCGATCAGCTGGAATGTTGCAGCATCTCCAGGGTCTTGTGATTTACATTTGATGCTTGGCAACTGATTCATATTTATGACGGTCACAGTGTCCCAGGGTCATGTGAAGTGACCAAAACCTGCTGCAATCACCCAGCAGACGGGGGGAATAAAAAACAAACACCCCACCCCACCTCCGTTGCCAATCCCCAACAGAAATGCTCACAACAATGAAAACCTCGGACAGGAGGAAGAGCGCGGCCGGGCGGGCAGGCAGGTGTCTTGCTCGGCTGCGGCTTGGGGGGCACTTTTTTCAGTGCCTTTGTAATTTCAAACAGTCACTAAGTGAACTGTTGTAAGTCGAGGACTACCTATACTTTATCACTTTTTTCCTTTTTTTTGTCATCAAGTTTTTGATACCTTTCTAGGCGACTGGTGGTACTTGGATATTGCCATATCCTAAAAGTGGTACAATGGGTGAAAAGGTTGAAAAGTCCTGTTCTAGGGCAAGGGTGTCAAACTGCCGGCCCACGGGCCAGTTGCATCATGCAGAGGCCGTGCCCACCCCAGTTCCAGCAATGCAAAAAAAGTTGTGATACGTCACAACACGTCACGTGAAGAGGCAAGTTTGATACCCGTGTTCTAGGGTGACTCATTATCACTTTTATTATTTGTCATTGCTATGTTCCCACTTTCTGCAATTTGGAAGAAAACTAATCTTGGCCATCAAATAGCAAAAATGCTAATAAAATCTCACATTTGCTTTGCATGGTTTATCTGAAGCTATATGGAAAATCAGACACTGTTATCCAGACATTGACAAACACCTAAGAATTTTTAGCATAGATATAACAATAGAATTTGGCTTAGAGCAATGTACTACAGCAGATAGCATTGCAGGCTAAGTCACTGCTCACTGCCAGGAGTTCGATCATGACCAGCTCAAGGTTGACTCAGCCTTCCACCTTCCAAGGTTAGTATAATGAGGACCCAGATTGTTGAGGGCAATATGCTGACTGCTTAGAGAGGGCTGTAAAGTGCTATTGCTATAAATTAAGGTAAAATCACAAACAGTAATAGAATTCAAACACCAAACACCGAAGCATCAGAAGCCATCAGGATGAAGAATGCTGGCAAGGAAAAGCATCACATGGTCAATTTCTACAAAACATTGAGGGAAAAGTGGATAAAGATAAAATCTGGCTTGCAACTGGAACATTAAAAACAGAAACGGATGGCTTGATTTTGGCTGCGTAAGCACAAGCTATCCGAACTAATGCAATCAAGGCCAGAATTGAAATAATCATCAAAGATTCGAAGTACAGATTGCGCAAAAAAGCAGAAGAAACAGATCACATACTTAATTTATGCACGAAGATTGCACAAGCAGATTCACTGGAACAGCTATAAAAATTTATCATGTACCACTAATGAAAAATTGGTGGAAAGGTATAGTTGAAAATGAGAAGGTTAAAATAGTGTAGGATTATAACCCCAATATAATTGAGGCTGAAAAGAAGAAAGTATGGATTGATGTGGCAATACCAGGAGCTAGTAGAACAGACGACAATGAATTGCAGAAGATCACAATGTATCAGGATCTGAAAATCAAAACTGAAAGACTATGGCATAAATCGGCTGTGGTGGTCGCAGGGGTTATCAGCACCCTGGGTGCCATATCCAAAAATCTCGGATGGCATTTAGAAAATCTGGGCATTGACAAAATTTCCATCTGTCAGTTGCAAAAGTCCACACAGCTCACATCAGCACATCTATTGTGCTGATACATGCTGGGTTCTTGGGAAGATGCATATGAAGGCCAACACAGCTAAAGAACTGGCAGCTGTCATTTCACATATTCTTCCTCCAATTCAAAATGTCCCTAAATTTGCACTAAAGCCAGCATGCTGGCTGGGAAATTTTGTAAGTGCACACATCTTCAAGTTGCCAAGGTTGAGAAGCCCTGAGAGTTTACAATCCAGCTTGGAATTCCAAATTAAGGAAATTGCACAAGGCAGGGAAGAATAAACACTACAGAATAAACAATATGTGAATCAGATTTCTCCACAAGTGACAACTGCATAATGACAAACCATTTATTAGTTTTATCTTAATTCCGGAAAAGAAGTGATTCAAGGCTTGTCACATTGATCAATTGAAATAATGCCTTTTGTACAAGTCATGGCATCGTTCACCATACTTCTTCCTACTTCTCACACAACAACATCTCTCTGAACTATCGCGCCAAGCCAATCCATTCCATTTGACAGACTGGAGATATTAAACCCACTTCCAGTTTACAAAACTGCACTCACATTTTATTTTTATTTTTTAAAAAAAAGAAAAACGAAAAAGAAAGAAGTTCCAGGAACACTTTAGCTCAGCCTTAAAAGTCCCTAGATACTATGCCAAAAAGCAAACACACACAATGTTTAAAGCTCCGAACATTGCCAATCTCACACAATCACAGTCATTTGAGAGCTGTGATTTCTCCCTCGGTAATTTATTCTGACTGCACAATATGCTTCCTTTGAAATTATCTGGAGGGTTATAAAAAGCAAAATTAGACAGAGACATTGACCCAGTTCAGATGACAAAGTAAAGTAGCCAGCAGATTAGCTCAGCGTGTTGCCTAAATCTAGAGTATGGTTAAGGACCACCTTAACTCCTATCTGTAATAACAGATTATTTTGTGGTTATCTTATGTTAACCACACAGACCGGCATGTTATCCAAACCCACGTTAATGGTTAATTCATGATGAAGCAGCCATTATTCCTCCAGGAACACAAAACAAGGAACAGGACTTGTGGCAAAGCTACTTTTCTGCTGCTCCCTCTTATTATTCTGTTGTAATTGCTGTACTGTCGCACACTGACTTTGTTGTTAAAACAAAAAGGTAGGAGAACAATCAGCATTTCCTTCCCACATGCAAAGGCTCTGGCTATAATCATATAAACCCATTTTAGAAGTGTTTTTGAGAAATGAACCTCGCAGTAACTATACTGCTTAAAAGGGCATTGTCCAATTACATTCCTACCCAGTTTGGTGTGTAATTTGGGGCAAGTTCATCAAGCAAGCACCTTAACCATGGTTAACTCTAATCCTGTTTAGTAGATCATGCAAATACAATGGTTGAGGCTTCTAGAGAAGACTAATGCAGTAGAGTCTATCCTAAGTGCCATGAAAAGCAATGGAACGTAAAATTGTTGTGATTAATTTGTTTCATTACTTTATACAGATCTTACACATGACTGGTTTTGACTATTGAGGCTTACAAGACCAGGAAAAACAGAGGACAATAAACAGAGCTGCTATTCTTATTAAAAGAAAAAGCTTTTATCCATAAATTTGGTACGTCTGTCTTTTTCTTTTTGGAAAGCTCCAGTAGCCGTGTGGTTTTAACATCTTCAGTGTTATAGGGAACACTTACCTTCTAATGTCCGAGAGCTTCAGCATATATGATGCGTTGTGGAAAGTCGCACTTTGCTCTCAGCCTGCTAGACAGAAAACCATATGTCAGTTACAATATCCAAGACATGCTGTGAGAGTCAATAATCCAGGGGGAAAAAAAGAGGCAGACATCTTAGGACACGGGTGTCAAACTCGCCATGTCACATGACATGTCGCGACGTATCACGACTCTTTTTGCATTGCCGGCAATGGGGTGGGCGTGGCTTCAGTATGATGAAACCGGTCCACGGGCCGGCAGTTTGACACCCCTGTCTTAGGAGATCTAAGGCAGGGCTTTTCAACCAGTGGTACGGGTACCACCTGTGGTACATTGGCACCTGGCAGGTGGTACGCGACCATCCTAGAAAAGTGGTAGCGGGGGAGGGGAATGAGCTGAACCGGTGGCAGCACTGCACAAGCCTGAGCGAGAGATGGCTGGAGCTGCAGGGCTGTCAGGGCTCAGTGGAAGTACCAGGATCAGCGCCAGGCTCCAGCTGGAGCTCGGCGCTGATCCTGGCGCTTCTGCTGAGCCCAGAAGAAGCACCAATCAGCTGGAATGTTGCAGCATCTCCAGGGTCTTGTGATTTACATTCAGATGCTTGGCAACTGATTCATATTGACACCTTGCTAGGCGACTGGTGGTACTCGGATATTGCCATATCCTAAAAGTGGTAAAATGGGTGAAAAGGTTGAAAAGCCCTGATCTAAGGCAAGCTTAAGCCAGGGGTCTCCAACCTTGGCAACTTTAAGACTTGTGGACTTCAACTCCCAGAATTCCTCAGCCAGCAAAGCTGGCTGAGGAATTCTGGGGGTTGAAGTCCACAAGTCTTAAAGTTGCCAAGGTTGGAGACCCCTGGCTTAAATGACCGGTTCCCCTGTGCACAGACATGTGTTTTCTGCACATATGACTACTGAACACAAACAGCAAGAACCTGGACCTGTCCAGATGTCTGAACTTCAATCCCACTGATTGCACCTACCACTGTCCACAGCAATGCACTGTGGGAGACATAGAACAAAATGATTGGATAGATATAGGCTGCTCATTCCCACTTTATTAATGCTGTTTCACTGAATCCTTCATGAATGTAGCCAGCAGCAGCTCGCTGGATTTTGGGTTTGTTTTTTTTATTTTTTATTTTTTATTTTTTAATTTTTTTTTATTTTTCACCATACACCATACACCAAAACTACATAAACATAACTCTTTTCTTCTAACAGAACAGTGCTTTACATTTTAAATGTTCTTTACATCTTATTTACATTTTATATACATCAATAATTATATCTTTTTCTTTCTCTGTTCTAGCCAATTATAACATTTATTCCAAATTTCATAAAATT